ATAGAGTTGAGTGTATGTATATATAAAAGCAGACAGCATGTGAGGGTGTATATCTTATAGTTAAAGCTTTTTAAAACAGACACTGTAAACTTCCATTTATTGCAAAAGATTTGAGGCCAAGTGGTGAACCACAACAGATGGAACTCAGTAAAAAAAATTCCATGAAAGCATTATAAGGTAACACCTTAAAATAAATATCAAGAATGTAGGACCTGACACAAGGAAGCCATATCTCTGATTCACAACACTGGGTCAGCTCCACAATATCCAGACAGTGCGGAGAGTGCTCAACATTTTAAACTATCTGAAGTCCTACGGCCAGGGATGTTGCCAGTAATATCCATCCATGAGATCTTATTAGACTAAGTGGCACCAACATGAGCTATATGTGGGAAATCCCTTCTTTCTAAAAGTTTAGTCCTAAGATTGAATAATTATCTGCATGGATTTCCACCTTCCTGATTGTTTCCCACTAGTCAGCTGTTACTCAACAAGCCTGGGCAGTCTTCTTTGATGGACTTCTCGCAAAGATACAAAGGTGACCATACGAGCTCTCAGATCTACTGAACAGGATGCCTTCTTGGGATGTGCCCTTAGAATATTTGTTTAAGGCAATAAATTAGTCAAGTTCCACAAATAAACACTGATTCTGAGTATTTCTTCTGAAACCCTATTGACCAAAACCAAGGACATGAATATGATCTTGCACTATGATGCTATTCTTTACTTTCATAGACAGGTCCTAACAATTTTCTTCCCATTCTGGGTCTTGCAGTTTTACTCCATTGTATGTTATATGATATACTACTCTCATAGGGACACTAATAAATTCCTAGAAGTTCTTGAGTTTTGGACTGACGTTGTGGCATAGCGGGTAAAGCCACCGCCTGAGATGTTAGCATCCCATATGGGTGACGGTTCGAGTCCTGGCTGCTACACTTTTGATCCAGCTCCCTGCTAATGCACTTGGGAGGGCAGTAGGGTGCCTGCAGTTTCTTGCCATATTACTAATAGGACTTAACATTCATGTAATTCTTTTTTGAATTAATTAATTCATTTGAGAGGCAAAGTTACAGAGAGAGGGAGAGACAGAGAGACAGGTCTTCCATTTGGTGGTTCACTCCCCAGATGGCTGCAACAACCAGAGCTGGGCCTATTTGAAATCAGGAGCCAGGAGCTTCTTCCAGGTCTCCCACGTGAGAGGATCCCAACAGGAGGTCAGAGGGAGGGAGGGAAGCGGGGTTGATTTATCTGTGCACAGGCTCCCTTCCAGCTGGCCAATGAGCATTGATGGCGTCCTCTGCACTCTCCCCACTGTCTCTGGAAGGGTGCTGACTCTTCCCTTGCCTCCCCACTCCAGGAAGAGGCTGCTATGGTCACCAGGCTTCCAGCCCCAGAGACTACACCTGGCCCACACCTTTATTAACTGCCTTCACCCCCCAGTTCAGGGTGCCCTTTGCTTCCATCCTGGACCCTGCATCACCCACAGCTGATGCCATCTGAGGTGTGTGAGGCTTCCTGCCATCCAGGCTGGATTCTCACTGGCTCTAGGCCACTCGTTACTCCTCTTCAGTGGGGCTTTAGAAGAACTTTCCACTGACATCCCAGGTGCCCTCTGTATGACTTGATCTTAAACATCTTCTTACCTAGATCTTACACCTGGGATAAGCTTGCCTTACCTTATCCGCTCAGCCTATAGCCCGTGGCTTTGCTCCACCACTCCAGGAACCTGCTGGAGTCCTAAGCTCTTTTGTCTGTCTTCCCCAACACATTTCTTGATTTTGTGGGTGGAATTAGCCCCGTGGCACAGCAGCTTAAACTGCTTGCTGCACTAGTTCGAGTCCCAGCTGCTCTCCTTCCAATTCAGCTCCCTATTAATGTGTCCAGGGAAAGTAGTGGAGGATGACCAAGGGGCCTGGGCCTCTGCCACCCTCATGGGAGACCTGAATGGAGTTCCAGGCCCCTGGCTTCAGCCTGATCAACTCCTAACCATTGTGATCTCTCTCTCTCTCTCTCTCTCTCTCTCTCTCTCTCTCTTTCTCTCTTCTCTCTTTCTCTCTCTCCCATCACCCTGCCTTTCAAATAAACAAATCTTTTTTAAAAGTTTGTAGAAAAATATAACTAAAAGATAAGCTTATTTTGGTGCCAAAAGTTTTGAAATTCCTGCATAATTTTTTCATACTACACGTTTTCCATGAACTTTTTAAAGTACCCCTGTGCTCTTCGAGTAAACATATCTGCCTTGAGCAGAAATACAATAGCTAATCCCCTGTGTCAGACCTAGAAGGATCCTTGTGCCTAAACAAATTATGATTTGAAATAATTTCAGAGATCATAACTATTTCTAATGCTTGTTTAGGTAAATATGAAAGATTGAGACAGTACCATTATGACATGGCATTAGGTTAAATTATCTTACCAATAAAACCATGACAAACAAGCAGTGTGACTACAAACTGAGAAGTAGAGTCTGTAATTTAAGTGGGGTTAGGGAAGAAAACTTCTGAAAAGTGTTGATTTTAGCTGTTGATGCTTCAGCATCCATATTAAGCAGGAGAGGTTGTTACTATTTCTTCTTCGTTGATCAAAAAGCTGTAGCTCTCATGGGAGGGTTCAAATCTGAATCTTCTGAGTTCCCATTCAAAATCCTGGGACACTACAGTGAGATTAGCCATTTCTTTTCCAATTTGAACACATGAAAATGGGTGTTGTCAAAATACTCATTTAATTTTGGGGGTTGGATTTTTCATTGTTGCTTATTTTCTTGGTTTCATTTCTTTTTTATTTATTTTGCTTTATTTTTTTGCCTTTTTTCTTCGTTGGTGTCCTCTGGAAACTTTCTTTCCTGCTCCCAGATACACCGAGTGACTTTCATGACTCAACTTCCAGCTCTTAATAAACAGGCACTGAGTCCCTAGCATGCCCCGGCTGCTCCCACTGCTGGAGGCCATGCCGCACAGGGAAAACCCGGTGCCTTTAGCCAGGAATAGCAGAGTATGGAGACCTCACAAAGGAAGCAAGCCTTAGGTTGAGGGAAAATGTAAGCTTACAAAAAGCATTACTAGCCTTAAGAAGTTAGAAAAATCAAGGGTAGATGCTTGGCCCAGCAGTTAAGACATTGCTTAGGATGCCCATATTCCAAATCCAGTTCCTGAGTTCATGTCCTGGTTCTTCTTCAGATTCTAGCTTTCTGCTAACGCACACACTGGGAGGCAGCAGGGTCTGGGAGGTCTCAAGGATTTGGGTCTCTGCCAGCCATGAAGGAGACTCAGTTTGAGTCAAAGACTCCTGACTTCTTCCTGGTTTAAGCCTGCCCATCCCAGCTGTTGTGGGCATCTGGTGAGTGAACCAGCAGATGGGAGATTTCTCTCTCTCTCTCTCTCTCTCTCTCTCTCTCTCTCCTCCCCCACCACCCCCCATCTTTCTGCCATTCAAATAATAAATACATAAATAAATAGAATTTAGAAAATCCCATGACCCCTGGTAAAGCAAAACAGAATACAATAATCATTTTCTTGATATTGACTATCCATTAAGACTTTTTTGAGCATCTGTATTCGCCATCATCTGCTGTGCACAGTACCAGCCACCATGAAGCTCCAAGATGCTTGTCATGGCTGAGGTCTCAGATTCAGTGTCACTTCAAATGTGCAAGCTCTTTCCTGCCCACTTGAATGCAGACATACCACCCTTCCAGTCCCTTACTCCTTACTGTATTTTCACCATAGCCCTGCTCACTAACTGACAGCATATTTGATAAGTGTTTTCAATTCTGGGCCTTAATCTGGACTTGACAACTGGAATGGTCGGTCAATCGAATAGTCATCAGACAGTAGAGGAAAAAAACCAAATCCACCTTATTGGAACTCTGTTGATGAAAACTGTACACTTCACTATTCTTCTCCTCAAAATACTCTGTCAAGAGGAACAATCCTCGCATCTGAGGTGGTTATGTAATCAGTCTTAGAAAGAAGAAATGACACCACACACAGGAAGGACAGATGTGCTCATGCAGTCAAACATGCACTACCTGAAGTTTTTGCAAAGTGATGAGACTTGTTCAAGGTGCATTGAAAATGGAACACAAGAGTATATGAGTAAATGTTGTCCTACACCAAATCAAGCTTTGCATTGCCTCTCCCACAGAAATCAGATGTTTTCCCAGAAATTTGAAGAGTCTTATGTGGTTGCTCAAAGAAATAAGTTCTTCATTTCAGCATCGAATCTTCACTACTGTAATGGATCTTCTAATTCTATGATTATGTGTGATCATACATGCCGGGTGCTGTGAGAACACATGGAGGGGAGCTGCTCTGGCAGGGCTGGAAGATGTTTCTCAGAGGCACCCACGCTGGAGTTGAAATGTGCAATGGCCAGCTGCTGACCTGCTGGAGACAGGAATGTGAAGAACAGAGAGAGACCACGGATGGTTCAGAGAGAGGGAATGTGTACAAGAGTAGGAAAGCAGGACTTCTGGAGCACTGCACTGACTTTTGCTGCCAAATAGCTAAATATTCTTGGTTTATGATTATTTATAGAGTTGTGTTTCTCCAGCAGTTCATGTGTCATAAAGCATAGAAATTTGGTTTTTATTACCTTAGTTACTGGCAAAATGAATAGTAGAAAATGAGCATGTGGCACCATAATGAATCCATTTGATCATTCCAAACTAAGGAACAGAATCCTATTAAAAGAAGTCAAGCAGAGCAGAAAACTGAATATTTGGATGAACCTTAAATATTACTATCCAAATGCTCTTTTTGTGAGCTAATTCCTTTTGAAAATCTCCATGAAGGCTTCTAACACTTTCCCATTATCATACCTGTATTGTGCATTCTCTTAGGGACAAAAGAGGAAAGGTTACCTAAATTCATAGCTAATTAGCCTACTTCTTAAGTAAGCTTACCGAGTTCTGGTTCATTGTATTACTCTGACTTTTGGAAACTTGCCAAATAAATAATGGAAAATAAATGACTTGCTCATTCTGTTCCCTTCAACAGTTGTGAATCAAGATGGCCAGCCTCTCATAGAGGGAAAACTTAAAGAGAAGCAAGTCAGATGGAAGTTCATCAAGCGGTGGAAAACCCGGTATTTCACTCTAGCTGGAAATCAACTCCTATTTCAAAAAGGAAAGTCTGTAAGTTCCTCTGTCATTTTTTACACCAGAATTTTTAACACCTTGATCTCTGCCAGCCAGCTAGGTATTTTGAGTTGAGTTAAAATTCTGATAACTTTTTCTTCTCCATTTAACAATCTCATGGGTGCTATTTTGTTACATTATAGCCCTTGGTCTATTCTGCTCAGTCCTGCACTAGCTGATTCCCTGTCACTCTTCAGTTTGTTTTGGAAGCTCTTTTTTTTTTTTTTTTTTCTTTTTTGGTTGACTTAAGTTTTAGAAGAATGACAAGGTGTGGTCTTGACTCAAAGACAGACATGAAATATTGAGAACCACTGACTGATTCTTTAAAATATAGGTTATGGTTGGAGGTAGGGGTCTGAGAAAGAGGGACAGTAGGCAGAGAGGGAGGAATGAAGGCTGGCTTATTATATAGCTTTCAAAGTCCACAAAGTTCAATTCTGAGTATGTAAAAATTCTCATATGTTTCATTCAGTTAATGAAGAGGTAAATTTCAATAGAGTGACTAATAGCTACTTAATAGAATTTTCTATCTGAACTAGGATACCCAGTAAACATTTCTCTTTTGATTTTCCATGGGAAATCATTCTATTCCAATCAACAATGCATAGTTATGCCCTTCTCTTGTCATTTAAGTTCTACTCATTCAAGATCGGGAGAATTAAATGTTTGCCTACCTCTTGCTGTTTTGAAATATAATCATAATGGTTTAATAATGGTGCTTATCGTGTGCTACCCTGGATGGCCTCACACAATCCTCAGAACACTGCTCTGAGGCCAGAACTATTATCACTGCCATTTCACCCATGAGGAGTCTGAGGCTCCAAGATAATAACTGGCTTGTCCAAGGACAGGGCCTATAGGGTCAAAGCAGGGTCAAGACGGGCAAGGGGACATCACAGCTTGTTCTTAAAGAAGTCAAGGCTACAGCTCCCCCATGGACATTCACAGCATGGAGCCATTGGGGAACGGCACTAGTCAAGGGTCTCCAGAGAAGCAGAGCTCACAGGCCATGTCTAGGCATAGAAGAGATTCACTGTGGGAATTAGCTCAGGGAATGATGGAGACCAAGAAGTTCCCTGAGATGCAAGCTGCAGAGTGAGGAGAAGGCACAGTATAACTCAGTCCGAGGCCTGAGGCCTGAGCACCATCGTGGACTGGACAAAGGAGCTCGGATGCTCTTGGGGAAGAAAACAGATGTCTCTGCTCCAGAGAGGAGATCAAATTCACCCCTCCTTGGCCTTTTTGCTCCACCCAGATCCCCAGCAGTGGCACGCTGCCCCCTCTCAGTGGTGAGGACAGTCTTTACTCAGTTTACTGATTCAAACGCCAGTCTGCTCCAGAAACGTCCTCACAGACACACCTAGAAACCACGCTGTACCAGCTTCCTGGGAGTCCCTTCTCCAGACTGGGCTGACCCATACACTTAACTGTCACATAAACCAAACTGTGTCTGAATTAACTCATGAAAGGTGTGAAATCAGTTAAAATGGCATCGCTCTAGGCATATGCACTCTAGAGTTCTCATTTTAAAACTTCCCTGAACATTTTATTCAGGAATGAAGTATGGGTGTATCTGGATTATCACAAATTCTGATTGGTGTCCTTTTAACTAATAAGACTTCTTTTAACCTTCCAATTGAAAAAGAATGTATTTGTGACACCTACTCTGGACCCACGTTACCTTCTTCATCCGTGTGCACTTTAATTTACACAAATGGACTTGTCTGTGACTGAAGGTCTTTTTGAAAGGGAAGTGTAATGACATGTTGGATTTAGACAGTTATTGAAGACTTAAAGAAACAATCTTTTAGCATAGGTTCATGCTGAAGCATTTTAATGTATTTAAAATGACCATTTGAATTTCCTGTTTTAATTCAAGAAATCAGGAATAGAAGTGAAGATGCAGTCATCTCCTAGATGCCTCAAGGCAGCGCAGAGTAATTCCATAAGAATATTTTTCCTGAACTCAAATGGTGACCTTTATTCTTCTTGATTCAGGACTTTTTAATGAAGTTTAAAGAGCAAGTAATTGTAAAATTAGCTAATTGCTTGACAGTTTTATCAGGAAATAATGCTTTGACATTCCAGAAGTCTCAAAGAAGATGTGGCTCAAATACTGGAAAATAATGTAATATACCAGGAGGGTGAAATACTTCCACTCTCCAGGGACACAGTAACCAAGAGTGGTCAGCAGTCCTGCTGCAGCTTCAGCCACATCCTAAAAGAATCTCCTTTTAAAGGAAAGAAATGTGCATTTTAGGAGAATAGAGGCTGAAAGACATTTTGCTTTGGCATTCTTAAAGTCTTCTTCTCCACTAATTTGCCAGGCTGCGGCTTCCTCTGACTTGCCTGCCATTGCCATCTTGGTTGATTTCCTCTTTAGATGGCTATGGAAATTTTATATTCTCCATCAGTTTCTCCATGGATCAATTTCTGTCTATAGGTGAATTAGAAGAAATACAATGTCATTACTGTCAGATATTTAGTATAAAACAAACTAGGATAATAATAGTGTCTAGTGTAGCTACCTGCAAAACTTATCCTGAACCCTAGAAGCACTTTGAAAACTCTGTGCAGTATCTTGCAGCATTAAGTTTCGGCAACAATTTTATCATAAATTTGAACAGTTGCCCACATGGTAGCTTTCACTGAATTGCAATATTCACATTTTAAAAGAAAAAGATCACCTGTCTCCTTTAAATGTAACCCTTGGAATAAAATACCATCCTACTTTGAGATCAAACATCTTTTTAAAATATATATATATAAATTAGCACTTTTTTAATAGAAAGGTTTATGTTATTTCTTTTTTTCTTTGAAATCATATTTCTGTTCCATGTCTCCCATAGCATTTTACCCTGATTATCATGTTTCATGGCAATAAAACCATCTGTATAAATTGGCATTTAATTGTTCTAATTTTTGTAGCCTTCAATCTGAGTGTTAAGATTTTTCTGACTCAATTATCTTTTCTAAAGTTATGTCAATTATGAAAGCCCATAAGTATGCCAAATTTGTTATTAAATTATATTAATTTGTTTCATTAAAATTATACATTGTTAAATTATTAACTAATTACATTATATTATTAATTATAATTCTATTTAACATGAATAAATAATTATTCAGCCTTAAAAGGAAAATACTGTTGGAAATGCATCTCTCCATGAAGTAGATGGAGGGTGATTATGTTGCCTGGGTTGATGGACACTTCCCAGGCACCAGTATTTTGAGTTGCTCTTTTTGTTTGAGGCTCCTGAGTCTTTTCTAAGTTGAGCAACACACCACAGAAATGTAGGATGGGTGAGAAGGTACATTTTCATTGTAAAGTAAAAGAGGGACAACTGTAAAAGGAAAGGTGGAAAAGGAGAATTGACAAGATTCTCAATCACAGGCTCATTTTCCAGTAGATAAAGTATATTCAGAGACTTTATTAAAGACCTGAAATTGCCTTAAAGAAGTATCCAATCCCTCAGAACCATCCATGCTCACCCACTGTGTGACTCTTGGTCTTTCAGAGGTCCCTCAACCACTGCTTTGATAAGGCACAAATATAACACCATTAAAAATTGATTCATGCAGTATTTACAAACAAAAGCATGTTTCCAAAACTGCAGAGAGTTTTGAAAACAGCTTAATCTACTCCAACGTCAGAACCCTAATTATTCAGTTCAAGCTTTGGCAAACCCTTTCTCAGTGGTAACACAGTGGAAAATTCAGTTTAGTACCTCTCAAGCTATCTGAAATTCTGAGTTAAGAGTGTTCCAAACAGGACTGTGTTCTGCTCTATTAATTCAGTGTCCATACCAATAGAAAATAGCAGAAGATCAAAAAACCATGAATTAAGGATTTTTCCCAATCCTATTCTATAACAATTTTCTCTCAATTCATAATCTTGTGCAGATTTATGGTACTATAACAAAGGCTCATTTGTTTACCTTGTCAGTTGTTCTAGTGACTCTTGGAGGCCTTAGCACCCAAATTGCAAAGGTCTTGAGCCGCGAAGTAAAAGATTGCTGGCTCTCTATATCCACTAGCCAGCGAGTTTTGCCTCCAGTAGGAGCCAGCTCACGTTCTGTCCTTCCCATGCATTTCAGAAAGACGATCCTGATGACTCCCCAATAGAGCTCAGCAAAGTACAGAGTGTGAAAGCTGTGGCCAAGAAACGCAGGGACCGCTCTCTCCCTCGGGCTTTTGAAATCTTCACAGACAACAAAACCTATGTGTTCAAAGCCAAGGATGAGAAGAATGCAGAAGAGTGGCTTCAGTGCATCAATGTGGCGGTTGCCCAAGCTAAAGAGAGGGAAAGCAGAGAAGTTACAACTTATCTATAGGGACCTACATGCCAGCCTCATGCAACCGTGCACAGCAGGCATTGCATCATCACTGCCAATGTCAAGAAAAGGAGAGAAGTTCACCAAGCCATGTTGTTCTTTTTACTAATAACAGTGGAATAGCTATCTCTAAGGCCTAAAATGGCAGGGTTCTTAGTAAATTTAGTATCCTAACAGCCGTTGTATTAACCCCAGAATATCCATCTGATGTGTACAAGCAAAATGAGCTACAGAGTACACCCTTACAGGGTGCCTGGCCAGGAAGGGGAAAGTCGTGGCTGAAGGAACTTCAGTAGCTATGTCATTTAAAACTAGGACAATAGAGGAGGGCATTTAACCTGTGGTTAGGATACCCATATCCCACATCAGAGTGCTTTGGTCAATTCCTGACTCCAGCTTCCTACTAACACAGACCCAGGGGGCCCTGGTGATGGCTCAAGTAATTGGGTTTTTGCCCCCCACATAGGAGACCTGGATTGAGTTCTTGGGTCCTGGCTTTGGCCTGGCCCATCCCTGGCCATTGTGGGCATTTGAGAAGTGAACCAAAAATATATTTTTTAAAAACTTCAAGAAACAAACTTTAAAAGATGCCTCAACTATCTATTCTGAAGAAAGATAGGCACATCCAATGAAAATCATAGTCTGTCAAAGGTATTAAAAGAAAAAAAAACTAGAAAAAGTTGAATCAATGTGTACTGAGGAAAATCATATAACCTTACTTAGAGACTAATTACAACCATCCTTTCTTAATATAAACGAGGGCAACACCTGGTAAAATGGTCCTCAGACTAAACTGGTTATGCAATTAAATGTCTATCTTTTAGAATTACTTATTTAACTTTTTTTAGGTTCATACAATCTAAAGTTGAGCTACTTGGAAATATCCCCTACCCATGGCAGTAGATGTTAGACAGAATACCATAAGAAACCATTTTCTCTAGCTTCAAATATGTACCAGCCACCTCCACTAAACTTTAAGATTTCAAATTAAAGTCTGATCCTCTTCTTCTTTGCATTCAGACTTTTTAATACCTCCAAATTACAAGCATTCGCTGGTTTTTGCCATTACACACACACATACCCACACACACACCCACACAATCTTTTTTTTTATTATTAAGATGTGGTAGGCAGAATTCTAGGATGACTCCCAGTGACCCAGGTATGGGTATAATCCTCTCCCCCTGGGGTGTGGGTGGGACCTGCACCTTGTTTCTAACTAATAGAATAAGACAAAAGTGATGGGACTACCTCTTTCATGGTTATGCTACATTATATGACAAAAATAAAGAGATTTTGCCAATGTGATTAAGGTCCCTAATCAGTTGACCTTGAATTAACCAACAAGACATTATCCTGATTGGACCTGACCTCCTCATATGAGTCCTTTAAAAAAAGATGAACAAATCAGAAGCAGACTTTCCTATTGCCTTAGAGAAGCACACTGCCCAGAGTCCTACAGAGGTGAAGGAATGAATTTTGCCAACAACTAAGTGATCTTGGAAGAAGACTGTGAATCTCAGATAAGAGCCCAGGCCCAGCCAACACCTTGGTTGTACCATTGTGAAACTCTACACAGAAGACCCAACTACACCATGCTGGACCCCTGACCTTCAGACACTGTGAGATAATAAATGCATACTGTTTTAAACTGATAAGCTTGTAGGAACTTGTTTACAGTGATCATTAATACAAAAGCTAACGTGGAATACACAGAGGATAACATTTCCCTTGAAATGTGTCTATTATGTAGGCTAACATAGAAACCTGGAGAGAGATTGTGAATGGGCAACATCCTGAGTTTATTGCTAACTCAATAGGATAGGAAATATAAAGAGGGTCATGTTTTAGGAACAAATCTAATTTGAGTATGTAAAATTGGAGAGGTTTATGAGTCACAGAAATTATTACACATAAGAAATAGTTCTAGGGGCCAGTGCTGGGCATAGTAGGCTAAGCCTCAACCTGTGACGCCAACATCACATATGGGCACCAGTTCATGTCCCAGCTGCTCCTCTTCCAATCCAGCTCTCTTCTTATGGCCTGGGAAAACAGTGGAAGATAACCCAAGTACTTGGGCCCCTGCATCCATGTGGGAGACCCAGAAGAAGCTCTTGGCTCTTGGCTTTGGATCCGCCCAACTCCAGTCATTGTGGCTATTTGGGGAGTGAACCAGCAGGTGGAAGACCTTTCTCTCTGTCTCTCCCTCTCTCTCTCTGTAACTCTACCTCTCAAATAAATAAAGAAAATCTTTAAAAGAAAGAAAGAGAGTTCTAGAGGTAAAAATTGGGGGTCAATGCATATACAGTTCTAGGAAGTCACTGAAGGTATGGAATTTGATTAAATTACTCAGGGAGGGCCAGCGCCGCGGCTCACTTGGCTAATCCTCCGCCTGCGGCGCCAGCACCCCGTGTTCTAGTCCTGGTTGGGGCGCCAGATTCTGTCCCGGTTGCTCCTCTTCCAGTCCAGCTCTCTGCTGTGGCCCAGGAGTGCAGTGGAGGATGGCCCAAGTGCTTGGGCCCTGCACCCTCATGGGAAACCAGGAGGAAGCACCTGGCTCCTGGCTTCAAATTGGCGCAGCATGCCGGCCACAGCGTGCCAGCCGTGGTGGCCATTTGGGGGGTGAACCAATGGAAAAAGGAAGACCTTTCTCTGTCTCTATCTCTCACTGTCTAACTTTGCCTGTCAAAAAAAAAAAAAAAAAAAAAAGAAAAGAAAGAAAGAATAAACGAAATTACTCAGGGAGAATAAGAAAACAGAGGAATCGGTAAGGATCCCTTGGAACTCCAGCACTTCAGCAAAAGCAGAATATATTAGCTGATTAGAGTTCAGAGATGATGTAGACCAACACACATGGTGTCACAAAAGCCAAATTATTAAAGAATTTTCAGGAAAAAGGGAGAGATCAAGAACCTGAAATCATGAAAAGTGGTCACTTAAGATAAAGCCCGACTTTCACAATTAGGAAGCAAGTGGCGTCATGGGTAAGAACAATCGCACTGGTGCCATGGTATAAAGGGCAAAATATCAGGATTGAAGAATCAGAGGGATGTTGGAAGTTTAAAGCAACAATCCAAGTACCTGCTCAATAAAATAGAACTAAGAGGAAGGGCAAGATAGTGTTTTCTTGTTTATTTTTAAGATGAATGAGACTTACAGGAAAGAAGAAATTAAAAATACATGTCGCTCCCCGTCTTCGTGGGGGAACGACACAGGACCCTGCGTTGTTCTTCTGTCTGCTCGGCCCTCCCCGGGTTTGCTGCTGGTTCTTCCCGGGTTGGCTACCGTCCCTTCCACCTCCGTGGAAGGGCGGTTCCCCCTGCCACTTTCCCCACTTCCGCGGGGGAGCGGCACACCGCCGGCCGGCTCTCTCGGGGGCTGCACAGGTTTTCCCCTTAGATGTTCCTGGTGCATGCCGTCTCTCTCCTCCTTTATAGTCCTCCTCCGCCAATCCTAACTCGGCTGCCCACACGCCGAGTACGCTGCTCTCCTCCAATCAGGAGCAGGTCCTGCAGCTTGTCAAGTTGGTGAGAGGCAGCTGGGTAGAAGCTGTTGCCTCCTCTCCCAGCGCCATATTGTGGGAGAGCAGATGCATAGAATAAGTCTTAATTCCAGTAACTCAGTCCAGTCCGGGTTGCTCCCAACAATACAGAAAGAGGAAAAACAACTTTGCTTAAGTTTCCAGAAGTAAAGGAAAAGGCTTAAAACTCCTCTCTTCAGCAGCAATCTCTTTACTAAGTATTATTTTAAGATACAACAACACATTCTTTAAGTCAGTGAATGACCTTAGCTGTTTTAATCAATTAGAGAAAACTAGAACAGTCAGTCAGAAAGGATTAGGTGAATAGCATTAGTTATTAGTATTGCATTAGTTAAGAACAATTGGAATGCCAGCAATGTGCTCAAATCTTCATAGCAAAGAGGTCGCAGAAAAACAACGACCATATACTGATTCTTTTTTCACTGAACACTTGGCCAAATAAAGAAGAGAATGACTCTATCCATTCAATTTGGGGGAAGAAAATTATTTTTATTTCTTCTTACAAAGGCCTCATGATTGAGTTGACTGGATACCGCTAGTTGAGTGCCTTTTAACTAGATCTGGAAAGAATATATGAATTGTAAATAATGATCTCTCTGGTTTCATTCTATGGTCAGTAACTCCCAGGGCAAATAAAGTCTCCTGAATTCAAAATTGCTCTAGGAATTGTAGAGGCCTAGGCTGCCCACAGATATTTCTGGCACTTCCACCCATGGCGGCACAGTCTTACCACAAACTTGCCTTTGTCAAGGGGACTGTCATTCCTGAGCCTGATCTAAGAAACCACTTTTCTAAACATGCCTAAACCTTGCAGAAGCTGGTATGAATAAAATGATAACCTTGGACAGAAAAATCAAGCAGCATTCATTTCTACATAAAAGCTTATGTGTGAGATTCTCGTGTGGTTATTTCTTGAGCATTTGGGAGTTTGGTAAAAATGCATGTGCAATACTTTTTTAGTGCTGAGTTTCATAGGAAATCATTGGATGGTGACATTATGGGACATTTCCTGGGTCACCTAAGTCACCCATGTTCTGCAGGCACAAGCAGGCCTATTTATAGTGCTGCCTTATTCTCAGGCATAAGATTACAGAGTTAAGGAAGCATAATGGTGAGAAGAGGTGAGAGACTCTAAACTAATTCAAGGTGCACTGCAGAGAAATAAACAACAAAGCTTAAAAATCCTGGGAAGAATTTTTTCAGTCCCCACTGGGGACTAAGCTTTTAACTGAAAGTCTAACAAAACTCCAAGAGTGCATCTTTTTCCATACGTTACTGCTGTATGGACCATTCAGATCCAGCTCCCTGCTGGTGGCCTGGATGCTCCTGCAAGACAGTGGGGTTGGGAAACCAGGAAGATGTCTACTGATGCAGCAGAGTCTTGAGAAAGTGGCACAGGCCCTGGGTGCGGACACTTGAGCTTTCAAGTCCTCCTCTACCCAAACTTGATGATCTTCTTTTTTTTTCCCTGACTTACAAACAACCAACATTTATTTCTTAGTTCTGGGTGCTTGAAAGTTCAAAATCAATGCACTAGTAGAGTCCATGTCTGGGGAGGGCCACTTCCTGTAACTTGCTGATCTTCTGAACAGGGTACCCCGGGGATCACAATTTCTACTGAGCTGAACTGGTGTGAGGCACACACGCTGTGTGAAAGCATCCAACAGAGAAGCTTTCACTTCAAGACTGCTTAAAAAGCTACTCCATTTGTTTCTGTATTGTTGAGTAAGGAAAAAATATTCTGAAAGAAACTGCTGCAATGTCCTAACGATGGTTCTTGGAGTACTGCTGTTCCTTCTAAGTATCCCTTATCTAGAAGAGGGATTTCGGACTTTAGGTGCTTGATGGGAATATGATAAGTAATTCTTTTGTAACTATTTGAGTAAGATAATGAAGCATGAATTGCCTTATCTGTATCTCATGTCTCCCTTTCTTAGGTGAAAATTTGGTGGTTGCCATGCAAGACCATATGGATCCGTAGTCACTCCTCCAATGATGTTTAGTTCATTAACACCACATTTCACTTCTTTCCTCAGCTTCTGTGTTTTTCTGTGTATGTGATAACTTTATGTTTCAAAGGCAAACCATTTTCTAGACATACTAAACAGCAATTAAACGATGCAACATGAATCACCCACATAACTCCCATCCACATAAATCAGTTAAAGTAACAACACAAAGAACTGACACCAAGTTTACATGTCAATAGGCAAAGACAGACAGCTAGTCAGCCACTCCGAGTGGACAGTTTCAGGGATGTTAAAATATAGAGGAATAAAATATAAATAAATGAGCAAAGGTGTTCATTTAAGAGTTCCACACCAGGGCCGGCATGGTACCATAGCGGGTTAAGCTGCCATCTGTGATGCTGGCATCCCATGTGAGTTCTAGTTCAAGTCTCAACTGTTCCACTTTGTTTTTGTTTTATACATGTTATTTATTTAGGGGCTGGCATTGTGTCACAGCCAGTAAAGCTGCCCCCTGCAGTGCCGGCGTTCCATATGGGTGCCAGTTTGAGTCCTGGCTGCTCAACTTCTGATCCAGCTCTCTGCTACGGCCTGGGAAAGCAGTAGAAGATGGCCCAAATGCTTGAGCCCCTACACTTGCATGGGAGACCTGGAAGAAGCTCTTGGCTCCTGGCTTCAGATCAGCCCAGCTCCGAGCATTGCAGTCATTTGGGTAGTGAACCAGCAGATGGAAGACCTTTTTCTCTGCTTCTGTCTCTCTCTAATTCTGCCCCTTAAATAAATAAATAAATAATTCTTAAAAAATAAAAAGTTATTTGTTTGAAAGTCAGAGTTACATAAAGAGAAGGATAGACAAAGAGAGAGAGAGAGAGACCCTCCATCCACTCGTTCACTCTCTAAATGGCCACAACAGCCAAGGCTAGGCCAGGTTGAAGACAGAAGCCATGAGTTTCATCTGGGTCTCCCACATGGGTACAGGGGCCCAAACACTTGGGCCATCTTTCACTGCTTTCCCAAGCCATTAGCAGGGAGCTGGAACAGAAGCAGAGCTACCAGTACTCAAACCAGCACCCACAAGGGATGCTGGCATCACAGGCAGTGGCTTTACCCATTATGCCACAACATCAGCCTCTTTAAACCTATTAAAGTTTACATCAAACAGAAAAAGTAATGTATTTCTTTGTTTTTCTTTTTTTTATTTATTTATTTGACAGATAGAGTTAGACAGTGAGAGAGAGACAGAGAGAAAGGTCTTCCTTCCATTGGTTCACCCTCCCAAATGGCCGCTATGGCGGAGCTATGATGATACAAAGCCAGGAGCCAGGTGCTTTTTCCTGGTCTTCCATGCAGATGCTCGGATGCCGGAGCCCAAGCACTTGGGCCATCCTCCACTGCCCTCCCGGGCCACAGCAGAGAACTGGACTGGAAGAGGAGCAACCGGGATTAGAACCCGGCGCCCATATGGGATACCGGTGCCACAGGCGGAGGATTAACCAAGTGAGCCACGGCGCCAGCCCCATCCTTCGTTTTTCAATCAGTGAAATTAGAATTCATTTTGGTTCAGAGAATCTAGAAGAGTTATGAAATACTTAAATAATTTAAAAATGTGAAGTACTCAAACAAATGGTAGACTGAGTCACATATAGGAATAAAAGTATTCTGTGAGATCTCACTGGAAAAAATTTCATTTTTTTGAGAATTATTCTATAATTCTTTTCTGCCCTGTTTTCTTATTATTTTATTTAAAAGGGAGGAGGAGTGGGAAGGAAGTAGACAGAGAGAAGGAGAGATTCCATCTCATGGTTGACTCCCCAAAAGCACCAAACAGCCAGGGGTGAGGTTGGGCCAAGCTTAAGCCATGAGCCAGGAACTCTATCCAGGGCTCCCACATGGGTGGCAGGAATTCACGTACTCGGCCCCTCATCTAGCGCTTCCCAGGCACACCAACAGGAAGCTGGATTGGAAGTAGAGGCAGAACTTGATCTCAGGCATTCTGATATGGAACAGGCATCCTAAGTGAGTGTCTTAACCTGCTGTCTCACAACACCCACCCCCAAGTCCTGCTTTATTTTTTAACTACCAGTCCATTCGTGTTGGTGTTAAGAACCATAGTATGCATGTGTACACATACACTTTCACACAGGAATTGGAACAACGAAGCACTTGTTTTCACAGATGTTTGTAGAAACATGTCTTACCCTTTCTTCTCTAATC